CGGTACATGGCGTCTCGGGTGAGCGGGGAGCTTCTGAGCTCGCGCAGGCCGGGCCGGCGGCGGAGGCGCGAAGCGGGGAGGGGAGAGGACGCGGGGGGAGGGAAGGGGAGCGGAGTGGGAGGCGACCGCGCTCAGACCCTAGCAGTCGAGGCCCGATGGCCGGAGCGCCGATCGCATCGAGTCCTCCCTCTTTCGCTCTTTGCTTTGTCTCTTTCTTGAAACTTCTGCATCTTTCACCCCTCCCCACCACTTTTCCCCCTCTGCCTCCCCTCAGATCAAATGTCACCTCCCAGAGAAGGCTTCCTAGTTCTGTCCCCATGAGATTTCTCATCACACCTTGACCCCCAGTGCGCAGACCTCCTTGTAACTTAACACTCTGTTTCACTGAACTAATCTGATGGCTTACCAGACTGTGACCTCTTTGGAGAGCCGTGGCTTTTATTTTTGGATCTTCAGCTCCTGGAACAGTGCCTGGCACACAGCAGCCGCTCAATAGGCGTCTCCTTCCCCCCCCAAGAACCCTCTTTTCCCTCCTGCTATTCTACGTTCTTTGTCTCATTTCAGCCCCTTCCATTTCCCTAAGGCCCTTTAAAGCCTCTTCTGAAGTCTAGCTCCATACCACATCAAACACATGGCCTGTATTTTAAAAAAAAATTTTTTTTCAGTGTTAAAAAAAGTTTTAAGTAAAATTTGCACTTAAAAATCTTAATCCAAAAATAACTCATAATTTACAGTTAGCTATGATTTCTGACAGCTGTACATGATCAGAGGCTCTTGTGAAATAAGAAATTAACTTCAGATTACTACAAAATGAAAAACTTGTACAATCTTAATTGAATAATTAATTGTTAATTTTGAAGATAATTAAATATTCATTCCAATTTTACAATTTTCTTTTTATACTTTGTGGTGTATGTTATTTATATACTACATATATATTGTTTATTTAAAATGATTTAAGAAAATACTTAATATTATGTTAAATATTAAATACAATTATTTAAGTAAATAATATTTATATATTTCTCAAAGAATTTTTAAGGCTTGTAGGACTTAGGTCCTGGGGCAACATACCCAATGTATAAAATGAGCCTGTGTTTTCTTGCAGGTAGGATACATAGAGAGTTCACAGACTTGAATTGATGAACTGTTGTTAGGAGAAAAAACTGCAAACATCTTGAGCTATTAATTGTTTAATTTGAGGAAAAGGCAATAATGGTAACCACACCTGGTCAGAAGAAACTGGGGCTAAATAATTATAAAGTGCTAGGCTGCTCACGAAGCCGACAACCTCCAAGAGGTCAGGGTATCCTAGGACCTAGAGGGTTTGGCAGTAGAGCAGACAGGTGCAGTATGTCAAGATGGTACTGGAGGTTCCTGCCATAGGGGCTCTCACTACTCCAAGCACACGACAGTGGAGAACAAACTATAAAGAGAAGAATGTAAAAGACATAGTCAGTAGTGGTTACAATAAAATTTCACTTTATCATTCTTTTAAAAACTGTGCATGCTTTATGCACTCTTCTATCCCTTTCCTTAGATCAGAAATGGAACAGAAGCACAGAGCTATTTAGAGAGGAAAAGCCAAAGTCCTGATGGACTTGCACCAGTTTAGAAGCAGATAGAGGCCACCCAAAGTGTGGCTTCTGTGAAGGTAACAGAGAATAAATGTTCTCCGTGAAAGCCGAGTGCCTGGGAGGCAAGCTAACCACGCAGCTGGCAGACATGTTGGCATGACCTTTACTATCTCTATGAGGCAGGAGCCCATATCTCCCATATTTTAGCTGGCTCTGGACTGGGAGCCACAGAACCCAGATAGAATAAAAGTAAGGTACTAGACAGGGAGAGGAGCGGGATGACAGAAAGAGAGGAAAAGGAGAGGAAGGCAAAGAAAGAAGGAAAGAAATTTTCCACTAAAAATAAACCTGCAAACCAAACTTCTAAAACATTTAAGGAAAATATTTCTAAGAAAGACTGGTGGCAAAATCAACAATCAAAAGGTGAAATCACCTCAGACAAATGAAAACAGTTAAACAATCTACAGGAAAGAGGGTAGGGGAAAAGAGGCCATTCCCTGGCTTAAAAAGATGGATTGATAGAAAAATGTTTTTTCCAAAGAATTCTCAAAGAGAGAAATGTATTTACCAAACAAACAGGGAATTATGAAACAAATAGGAATAAATGAAAAAGAATATAAAGAACATGAAAAAGAACTTATCAGAAATCATAGAAATAAAAAAAAATCATGAGAGCTTTAAAAAGGGCATCTGAAAAAAGGGGGGGGTGTCTCTTCTTAAGGTGGAAGTACAAATTTGGTGGGCTACCTCTATCTGAGGTCAGCTTTTGTTTTCCCTTACTTTTCACTTTTGCAGACTAAACTTCTCCAGCTGCCCTAACTATTCTTCATATCTCAGGGTTTCTAGACCTCAAACTGGCTCTAAGAACTAGACACAGTGCTTGAGAATCTACCAGTAAAAGGACACTATCAGTTCCCATCCTCTAGACAGTCTACACTTTTACCAGTTGAATCATAGCCTTTGTTCATAATGATATTTGTGGTCAGCAATCAAGTCTTTTTTTCTACATAAAAAATACAGTCAAACCCAGCTTTCTTCCCCTATCAGGTACTTGTAAGACTGATTAAACATACATCTCTGGTTTTTGTTTGTTTTTTCTTTTTCTTTCTTTTCTTTTTCTCTTTTATTGAGTTATAGTCAGTTTACAATGTTGTGTCAATTTCTGGTGTACAGAACTTTTTTCAGTCACACATGAATATGAACATATATCACTGTTAACCTTTATCTTACTGGTTTTGGCTTTGTATTTCCATGGTATTATTTTTAATATAAATTCCATCAAAATAAACCTTTGACTTTCATCTTATCTGCAAATAAGATAGGCAAGCCTTCTGTCTTGTTCAAAATATTAAAAAGGGCTGGACCTCAGACAGAACCCACTAGTACACCAGGAGAAACTTCTCTCCAGGGGATCAGAGGTCAGGTAGCCAATACTCTTTTGATACAGTTATTCAAACAGTTGGGAGCTCATTGTTGCTATTCTGTGACCCGCTAGTGTGTGGTATCCTGAAGATAGTACTTCTATTTCCTTGTTTTTTTTTCCCTCTTCTAAATGTTTTCCACTGTACTTTTGACCTCATGTTCACTAAAACTTTTGGAGAACCCTACTTCTGTTTAACCAGTACATATTTATGGGTATCTGCTCTTTGCCAGAAAAAGCTGATGCTGAAGTTACAACGGTGACTGAAAAGAGACACAGTCTCAGTGCTCCTGAAATTGACAGGCTGGAGGGTAAGATATTCGTGAATCACATAAACACAAAGATAAAGGTAAAATCGCAACTGTAATAAATGCTATGAAGGAGAGATGCAGTGTGTTGAGAGGTTATAATGGTGAAATTGATCTAGTCTGGGAGATTACGCTTTCCTAATTAAGTGAAATTAGATCTAAGGCCTTAAGGATAAATGGGAATTATCTTGGTTGAACATGGGTAGAAAGAAAGAGGAAGAGTTCCATGCAGATGAATCAGTAAGTGCAAAGGCCCTATAGTGGGAGAGAGGAGGTTTCATTCAAGGAGGTAAAAGATAGCCATGGCAGCTGACATGGAGAACCAAGGGGAGTGAGGTGAGGGAGGAGGCTGGGGAATGACCATTCAGGACTGTATCTCTCTGCCCTGCTTTATCTTTGAAACAAGGAATACTCTTCTAGAGCATCTTCTAGCCACAAGTCCTGCTCTGGTATATACTGTATTATAATATCTAGCACTGTGAAATACTATTTGTTTTCTTGGCTTAACATTTCAGGTTTACTTCATCATTTATACTCTGCGCTTTGGTGGGTAGACATCAGAGATCATAAATACTACTTTTAATCAACTTCTTGCTTCACCTTCCAACCCCAGTGTCATTAGCATCACCTGAGAACGTGTTAGAAATGCAAATGCTCCATTCCCATCCAGATCTACTAAATCAGAAATTCTGAGTGGTGCCCAGCAATATGTGATTTTAAAAGCCCACCAGCTGATACTATACATGCTAAAGTTTGAAAAATCTACTCTAAAGAATTATCTGCACACATTGTATCAGATACTTTTTTTAAAAAACATTTTTAAAAATTGAGTTATACTCATTTTACAATGTTGTGTCAAATTCCAGTGTAGAGCACAATTTTTCAGTTATACATGAGCATACATATATTCATTCTCACATTCTCTTTTGCTGTGAGCCACCACAAGATCCTGTATATATTTCCCTGTGCTACACAGTACAATCTTGTTTACCTATTGTACATTTTGAAATCCCAGTCTGTCCTTTCCCACCCCTCATCCCCCTGGCAACCACAAGTTTGTATTCTACGTCTATGAGTCTGTTTCTGTTTAGTATTCTTTTTTTTTTTCATATTCCGCATATGAACAATCTCGTTTGGTATTTTTCTTTCTCTTCCTGGCTTACTTCACTTAGAGTGACATTCTCCAGGAATATCCATGTTGCTGCAAATGGCATTATTTTGTCAGTTTTTATGGCTGAGTAGTATTCCATTGTATAAATATACCACCTCTTCTTTATCCAGTCATTTGTTGATGGGCATTAAGGCTGTTTCCATGTCTTGGCTATTGTAAATAGTGCTGCTATGAACATTGGGGTGCAGGTGTCATTTTGGAAGGCAGCTATGCTCACCACTATACCACCAATGCTGCAAAAGGTGTCATTTTGAAGTAGGGTTTCTTCTGGATATATGCCCAGGAGTGGGATTCCTGGGTCATATGGTAAGTCTATGCCTAGTCTTTTGAGGAATCTCCATACTGTTTTCCAAAGTGGCTGCACCAAACTGCATTCCTACCAGTCAGATACTTGTTTTAACAACGAAAGTTATGTATTTAGCTCAGTTCTCCAGGTTGACAGCTTGGGCTGGGCTCAGCTAGGCAGTTCTGATTTCCTCATGCTCAGTCACTGTGAGCAGTCTGCTGGGTTAGCTGAAGGCTGGCTGGTGTAGGATGCCTTCAGCTGACACAGCTTAACTCTTGCTATTTGTGGCCTCTTTTCTCCAATAGTTCTGTGTTTGTTCACCTGGTGGCTAGACGGAGCTCCAAGAGATAGAAAACAGAAGCATTCAAGGAGTCTTGAGGCCTAGGCTCGAAAGTGGCACCCTGCCATGTCTGCTGCATTCTATTGGCTGAGGTAAGTCCAAGGTCATCCTAGATTCAAGGTGAGGAGGAAAAGACTTTACCTGTTGATGGGAAGAGCTGCAAAGTCACATTGTGAAGTGTATGGATACAAGGAGGGTGGAGATTGTGACTTCTTCTACACCTGTGCATATAGAAACAATACTTCTGTTTATTGTAGCATTCTGATGATAGCAAAACAATGAAGCAACCTAAATACCCCTCAATAAGAGAATGGGCAAATTGTGGCAAAGTCGTACCATGGAATACTATGTATCTGTTGAAAGGAATGAGTTAGGTCTCTTTCTAGGTCAACTAGAAGAAATACAAAACCAAGAACTTTTTTTTTTTAATGGAAAAAGGAAACTGAACAGCAATTTGTACAGAATAGCATTTATATACTTTTAAAACCTACACAGTATAACATATTTTTGATGGATGCATATGATATGTTTATGAAAGTATTAGAGAAGGGCTAGAAGTCTATACATCTAACTTACAGCTGTGATCCCTCCTGGAGAGTGGGGAAGGAGGCAAGAATTCAAAGTGGTAGTCAGAGGATATTAACTTTATCTGTTAGGTTCTCACTGAAAAAATACATTTATATGTGTTCTATGAAATTCCAATTTTAAAAATAAAATGCAAATTTTGTTGGACGCTCATTTCAGGATAAGTCTCTTCTTTGACACGTTCTTCCAGGTCGTTATGAGATTCTGTCATTCACTCAAGCCATGGTTAGTGAAGATTGCTATGTTCTATACACTTTACTAGGTGCTAAGAGCTCTCAGTGCTTTGCCAAATTCCTATCATTTTAATCTCTAAGTCCTTCATTTTCTGACCTATATCTTTGAAGTCTTTAGCAAGAAATTCCAGGGTTTTTTTTGTTTGTTTGTTTTGTTTTGTTTTTTCCTGCATCATGGAGTTTTGTGTTTATCCATAGAAACGGGCTGTCATTGGTGGGACTTAACCAATCGGGATCTGGGAAGATGCACACCTCCCAGTGAACCTTGTCAAGATTAATCAGGTGGATGTCACCACTTAGCCGGGATCACATTCATTCAATGTCATTCATTTTCATCCCACCCGTATACCCTCTAGCAAAACCTATTCTCAGAGAGCTTGCTTCCAAAACTTCTATTAAGCACAGGACAGAAGTCCATGTGCCTGTCCATACTTGTCACAAATGACTGGATGACAGGTAGACTCTTACCCAAGGTGGGCCAAATCAGAGTCTCTGTTCCAGAACTTTGTAGCTGTGGCACATAAATTCTGGTCAGTCTTTCCTGTGTGGTTGAGCTGACAGATCCTGAAGGACCAGATGGCCACCCTTTCCCTCATGCACTGAGAGACAGAGAAACCTAGTCTGCAAAGAGGAGTTAGTTAGACAGACAATTAGTTGAGAATAGGTGCCACTTTAGTTTGATAGCTCAGAGTCCAGCTTTCAGCTTAATATAAATCATAGTGTCTGGGGGAATGTCTACAAGAATCCCTTTAAATATTCCAGTAATCTCCCCAATTCTTTCCTTTGTTTTCTTTTCCCCCCAATTAG